TTTAAATTTGCTTCCTTCTATTCATGTCTCTATTGCTCCCTCCCGGTCAAGACAAATGAGGCTCCCATTTATTTTCTAGGATGGTAATTTGTATTAATATTATCTCAGGTAATCATCAGATGAAACGACAGGGTTCAAACATCTTAGCTAAAATATGTATGAAGGAGAAATGATCTGTTTCATGTGAACTAAATGTGTTTGATCTGTAGCATCTGAAGCTGTAGTATGTAATATATTACATCATCATCTTCATAATTGGGTGCCAAGGCAATTGGGTTTCCATTTGGTTCTGCCACCCTCTCTTTTCCTCAGAGTCAGCTTTGACATTCCTTGGAGATTAAATAGGCACCTCTTGAAAGGCAAATCCCTGGGGAATATTTGAGCTAAATTGCATCAGTCATTTTGGGGCTATGGTATAGTAAAAGAAAATTCAGGTTCTTATTTAAAATGAGCTGGAACCATAGACTGCAGTTGGTTATGATCATCCATGATGAAGAGACTTAATCATCCGAATTATAGCAGGAATATTTTGGCATCATTTCATGTTAAGCAGACTTAAATATTTTATTGGAAGATGCGTTATAGAGTGGAATGCTCTTGGCATATTTATGGGTATGAAAAACATATAGTAATAAAACAAATATACTCTTTACTAATATATATCTATATCTATATATATATATATATTGATATATAAAATGTGTGTGTATATATATATATATATATATAAAACATTATTTTCCATCAATGCTTATCAGAACGGAATACTCTAAAGTATTAATAGGTAAATTCCTCTGCACCAGCCATCAAGTGCCAGTAATTTAACAGGATTCAATACTATGTTAGTGGAATATTTAATAAGTGAGATAAATGGAAAAATACAATTTTATCTATGTTGATCAGTTGTCGAAAATTAAACAATAACTGGACGCTTAGTTGCTACCAGCCTCTGATTCTTCCTCTCCCACTAACACCAGCCCTCCTCCCTCATCCCAGACATGGATGATTTGGATGATTTGTCACTTACCATGATCTTTATGTTGACTTTCTTTTTTGAGACAGAGTCTCACTCTGTCTCACCCAGGCTGGAGTGCAGTGGCGTGATCTTGGCTCACTGCAGCCTCTGCCTCCCAGGTTCAAGTGATTCTCCTGTCTCGGCCTATCTGGAAGTTGGGACTACATGCATGTGCCCCCACACACAGATAATTTTGTATTTTTAGTAGAGACGGGGTTTCACCATGTTGGCCAGGCTGGTCACAAACTCCTGACCTCAGGTGATCCAACCACCTCAGCCTCCCAAAGTGCTGAGATTACAGGTGTGAGCCACTGCACCTGGCCGTATCGACTTTTCGTGAGAGTTTCTGCTGCCCTAGAATACTGCATGACTATAGTCCTAAGTCAATGTGCTTAAGTTTGAGCCTCTGTTTACATGTATAGGTTCTTTCAGATTTTAACAACCCCTTAAAAAAGGGTAGAATAATATTCACTTATGAAATGCTACAGTGAAATGTAATCAGTCTTTCCTCATATGGGTCAGTTAGAATTTACAGCAAAACTGTTCTCTGCCCTGTCCAGAAGAGTCCTGACATAATTATACTCTTCAATGTAGCCCATAAAATACACGTGTAGTAACACTGCCATCCTTCATTCCTCAACCTGTAGAATGCATTAATGGGACTTAATAAATGGCTGTATTTAGATACGCATCTTTCTGTTTGGGTTTATGTTTTAAAAATTAAGTGTTGCTGGGGTCCTTGCAAATCTTTAAAAAAGCTTTATCATTAGATGATAAAATTGCCACTCAAGAGGCTAATTCAGATAGATATGCCTCGCCTGGTAAGTTTGATCTATCCAATATATCTTTTACCACAGTTTGAATTTTAACAAGCCATAACTTTATTGGGGCAGAGGGAAGGTCAGAGGCAAGGCCTGTTAATGTCCTGCACTTTGTCAGTTTCAGGGCATGAGCCTGGGGCCCTATAGCACTGGGGTAGTCTGGGGGCAGACACACTACTTCCCAGGGTAGAAGTGATAAAATTATTGACAGCATAGTGAGTCATGGGTCTGTTTGTTTTAGGACAATGTAAAATAGATAATATATTTAGATAGAAAATAAGATTTTTGTTTTGAAAAGCCTTGTTGTGCTACCTGAGTCTTAGGCCCTGGAGAAATGCCCAGGCTTGGCATTGGTAGGTGTTGGTTCAAGACCATTGACAGCTATCCTTATGTCCTTTGAGCACCCCAATCGTTAAGTGGGACCCACAGATGAACAAATTTTCAGGAGGTGAAGTTCTAGAAGAGACATTGTTTTTCTTTTGTCTTTTCTCTTTGGCTTTCTCCACTTGAGTCTGGCCTGTGCCTCACCGGAATTCTCCTAGATGTAGAGTGACTTAATTGATGCAGCCCAGCCTGCTTGTACTCACTGTGTGTGGAAGCCCTTGAACCTAGCTAGGACAGTGTGCAAGAGTGATCATGTATGCTCCGGCACTTATTCCCTGACCTGGACTGCAGCCGTGGCTGCTCAGAGCCCCTTGCCCCATGCTCAGTCACCATCCCCCAGATAGGCTCTGGTGCCTAGAATCCTTCACATGTGTTCATGATCTTGGCCCCTGATTTGAGGTTTCCTCCCTAGGCAGTAGCCAAAGCAGTGACATCTAAGGTTTTATCAGCTCTGGCTCATTGGTTTTTGCTTTGGCAATCCACTTTCCTAAGGCAGGGCAAAAGCAATCAGATCAGAGAATCATTTTTCTTCCCTGCTTGGCCTGGCTGGGCAAGTGGTTGTTTGAAGGACTCGTTTTGCATAATGAGTTTTCGCTCAAGGTGTACTTTCACATTTTGGCAGCAATTAGGCAGTATTGTTACATTTGCAATGAGTTTTAAATATTCTAATGCAGATAGCTACTTTTGGAGGCCTTATACTTAAAACTGATTTTTCCTAGGAAATATGTAAAAATGGCAATTACAGTTAACCTGAAAAAGTGACAAGGTCCAGACAAATGCTTCAAATTCCATCCAAGTTATAAAGAGTTATAAAGTATGTTGAAATCATTAGGGAATATCCAGTTCTTGAGACTTGCTGAAACCTTTCTTTGACATCAAAGAGAATGTGGCCTGTGAAATTAAAGTTAAAGGAACCTGTCTTTGGTTCCAGCCCTTCCCTGTTGGACATACAGCCTAAGCTTCCAAGGGCTTTCTCTATTAGAACAGCATGTTCAAGTAGAAAATATTTCACACGATTCCACATTGCCATTAGACATGATGCCATCTTCTGTATGTGGAGAGAGCATTGATCAACCACAGTTGGAAGGATGAACGGTTTGATCCTTTTTTTCTCCACTGGTGGGAATGAGTTCATCTTCCGTTATCTCTTCCTCTGCCCTTGAGAATAGCAGAATATGTTGGTAACATGGTTGTCTAAGGCTAAGAACATTTTGGTCATCAAACCTAGAAATTGGGTGCTAAATTTCATATCTACTATTCAACCTTTAACTTAAAATCATTTTAACAGTGGCTGCTGAGTTTCTGACAGCACAATTCCAAAAGTTTGAGATTGTATTTAAAATTATAAATGGGGAGGGAGATTACAGAGAATTTTCTCAGTGATATTTCATGGTATAGTGCTCAAAGACTTCCTACCCAGATAGGTGAGAAGGCCAGTTATTCTATAAAATTAAAGCTAGAGCTAAGTGGGCAATTCTTTGAAACTAAAAATAATTTAGTGCCGAATCCTCAGGTTCCAGAGGAAGCTGTTTATTTCCTAATGCTTTGGAAGATGGAATCACTGGCCAAGAAACAATATGTTCTGATTTTACTTTAAATCTAGTTTCCTAAAATCTATTTAAGGGCTTAGGTGAACTCAGCAAGGATATAATAAAGCTACATAATTGAATGACACTGAGGCTGATAAAATTCACAGGAGATCGTGTCAGAGATAAACCATCAGAAGACAGCATGGACAATAATTTAAACTAATTGTGCAGTTCAATGTAAATTAGCTTTTCCAGAAGAGATATTGGGGCTTCATTTTGGACAGCTTTCTGAAACTGTAGCATGCAGATTGCCTGCCAAAAACACGTACACTGTATAGCAAAGAAATTGAATATTAACTAAAAAGGGACAAATCCTTCAAGATGGTATGGGGATAATGTGCATGGGTGACACCTGTTCAACTTGCAAACTGTTCAGTTTTGCTGACAGAGTAGGTGTGCCGGGAAACAACGGGGTCAAAGAGTGCTGATGGGGAGAATGAAGGGAGTAGACAGTGTCTGTTTGGAAGGAAAGGGTTATTAGAAGTGGGGAAGAAGTTAATATCGCTGTGAAGAAGTGAGTAATTGAGATCCTTGCAATTATAAAGCAATGAATTGTCTAGCCTCAGAGCATAAACTGATGCAACCCAAATGCAAGAAAGACATGGTTATGAAGAGACCAGATTGGCCAGCCTTTGTTGTTTCATCTTTCCATGCCCAGAACAAATGGTAGTAAGCTTAAATGTACACCTTTGGTTAATTCTAACATTTGAAAGGCCATCTCTTTTTAGGTTTTGTGAGTATTGAAAAACTGGAACTGGGCACCACAAGATGCATGTCTCTATGTAAAAGAAATGTTGACAGTTGAATCATCAGCTGTTACAAACACAGAGGCTTAATCATAACTGAGAGCAGCAAGGCATCACCTACAGTATAATTGGTAGCAAATACACCTTGCACTTAGAAGGCATCTGGCTTTATATGTCAAACCAAGAAGAGCAGTGCTGTTTCCATACTGGGATGAAATGTTTTTACTATTCTCAGGATTTAATACATACAGCTTGAAAGGCAGGAATTTGAAAAGTAAATTGATATTTTTTATTGCACATTAATGCCTGTTTTGGGAAAAATGTCTAAGCTTTCAGTGTTTTCCTTTGTGTTTTGGGAGGTGAAAAGAAAGGCAGGTTCTTATGCAGTTAGGTGAGAAGCTTCTTGAACTCTGATCTTTGTTTTCTATTTTTTTTCCTTATATAGGATGATTATTTCAGAAACTGGAATCCCAACAAGCCCTTTGACCAAGGTAATGGATGCAATATTTCTTGCTGTATAGTCTGTGGTAAATGTGGTTTCATTTTTTTCCTTCCTTGTTGAGTTAATGTTCCCACAAAAGCCAGCTAGCTGTGTTATTTTATTGACTTCGGGGACTGAATTGACTGGGGTGGTAGAAATTATTTTATCCAATTGGTAATTTGTCTGAGGTTATGTCTAGGACTGATTTAAATAATTTCTCTTAATTGACTTGACCAGCATAATCATTGATTGGTTTTGTTAAAAAAAAAAAAAGTGAAATTTGATTATTAAATTAACATGGTGAATTGTGGGGCTGAATACAATGCTTTCATTCATGGAGCTGACTTTGCCTGGAGATGCTTCCCTAATTCACATGAGCCATAAACATGAAACTTTCTTTCTAGAAAAAGGTTAATCCTGGGAGACTTTCAAGGGCACTGCTCTTTCATTTGTTAAATAACTTCTTCATGGTTTCTAAATAGAAGCCTGTTTCAGAGTCAGTTCAGTGACTACGTGGGTTTAAGCATGGCACCCAGAAGACTTTCTTCACCTCCATCCCCCAGCAAGCATCAAACCAGTCTTATGATAGCGGTTGTAAATCACTAGCAGTGTCTTCCTATGAGTTATTTAAGACACAATGAGGACCTGCCATGAATCACATCCCTTCCCCCATTGTTCCATGTGTGGTGCTGTTGAAAATGATGGTAGATTGCACTTTGTGTGTGTATGCAATTAATGCCAAAATGCAGTGAAACAGTATTACCTACCACATCTCAAAGCGTCCATGTTTCTGATAATCAGCTTCATGAGTATTCTATGTGATCATGTTGGTCAATTTGATATGAAGAAATCAAGGGAGGCAATGACATGTAATGTGGAAGAAGGTGCTCCTTTCTGCCGTCTGCTCTGTCAGTTTAATAGGTCACTACCTCTGGACTCTGGTTTTCTCATAAGCAAAAATAGTATTAGTTTCCATATATACATTTATCATATGCCTTGAAATAATGTAACATTTTGTTCATTCATACATGCATGCATTCATTCTCAAACATTTATTGAACTTTCGCTGTATGCACAAGCACCAAGCCAGATACTGGGGATAGAGCAAAAATGCCGTGGTATACCTACAGGAGCTCAGAGTGGGGAGTAGGGAGATAAATCAGTCAACAATTGCAGTGGGATCTGTTAATGGCTGTGATGCAGGTGTGTTCATGGAAGCATGTGAATCTATAGAGGGAGAAGTGTGTATGTGTGTGTAAAGGGCAAAGTGTCCAGCAAAGCTTTGCTTCAGAGGCTCTGTCTGGACTATACACATCTTAGTAGCCTTAGAGTGGTAAAGGAATTACTCCTTTACAGTTCTAACAATGGCTGAATCATCACAGTGTTTCACTCAAAAGCATATGAAGGCGTTTGTAATTTAGTTTAGAAATGTTCTATTAAAAGCGATCAAAAATTTTAAAACTTTTTAAGAGGATAAAACTTTACGACGAATACTGGTAGTTAAAGAGCAACAAATTCCCTGTCTGTGCCTGATGAACAAGCCCTTCTGTGAACAACCCTACCAGGCTTTTGCTTGCAAAGGTAACTCAACTGACAGTCTCTGTGAACTGGTTCTTTTTAGCCAAGAACTAGAAATAGGTTCTTGTGCTATCAGGATCAAATGTTGCCTAAATAACTGTCAAAATTACTCTTTCCCAAAGCTTGAAAACCAATACATACACTCTCTCAAGGGAAGACATTTTTACTTTTACTAATGCACACTGGAGAAGGAATAAATCAAGGTAAGTGTCGTTTGCCACTTAGGATATAAATGATAGCTTCCCTTGGTTTGGGAGTTAACACAGAAATTTCGAGAACCACAAAAACACAGCCTTTAGATCTGTGTCGGTAAACAGTCCAAACTCTCTCCTGGGAATGATGGCAGCTATATCCAGCAGAGCCCCATCCTGTTTCCTCTTTTTCTAGCTCTGCAGGCTTGAAAACTGGGTCTGCTCAAATTAATCCTCCCAGAAAACTTTATGACTTTATGGGATATAATTAAAGACCTTAGCCGAGTAGCCCCACTTTGTACCTCAGGGGTAGCTGCTGTTGGCTATTTATATACAGAACCATGGGGAGTGCAGGCAGAGCTGAGAATAGCCTTCACTCAAAATATCAGCCCCAGCAGATGTCATCAATTACGTTGTGTGCGGCTCAATAAAAATGGGAGGTTACTCTATCAGCACTGACACCACTTGGTGAAATATAAACCACAGGCATGGAAGACGTAGAGCATTTCATCTTCCAGAAAACAGGAGAATTACTGAACTCCAGTGGAAGTTGTCAGCCAAAGAGAGGAGTCATTTCCTCTCCTGAGCTGAAAAAAGAATCAAACATAGTTAAAATAGTTTTGTGGTTGGGGGAAAGTTTTAGTTTGTAGAAATAGAACTTGTTGAAGAGTGTCGTCAGAGATTCAGATGACAAATATGGTTTAGGATGAGGATGGAAGGGGCTTCATGATGGAGGTGGGTGTGGAGTAGGCTTGGAATGTAGAGGGAGCGGAGGGGAAGGAAGGCCCAGCATAGGGAATTCTGGTAACAGTGTAGTCAGAAAGGTGGATTTGAAAAGGGTTGAGGGAATATTCCATACCAATCTGCCGAGTTTGAATTTTGTTTTCTTGGCAGTGGGGTGCCATAGAAAGTCTTTGAGTAGGGGAGTGACATGATGAGGTCAGTATTTTAGAGGATTTGGTTTGGTGACTCAACAGCTATAATTAGGAACCCAAAATATACTTGCTAAATGATGTCACTCCCATAGGACTCTTGAGTAACTTCAAGGCATCATTCATTGCCTCGGAGCCCTGGGCTCTGGCTGTCATCAGTGGTCCGGCTTATTAATTCAGCTCTCCAGCTAGCTTGACCTCTGAAATGCCCATGCACCCAAGCACCTTCTGATTGTCATGTTGGTATGGTGAATAGTTAGAAGACTCAAAGTATTCAAGAAATAGTTACTTAGCTGTAATTTCTCTCTCTGCTTAAAGATACTTACTGAACTTTGAACAACAGGGCTTCATGGAGTGAGTGCTATCATCGTGTAATTGACTCTAAGGCAGTTGGAAGAAAAGTATCCCACCTGGGGCTCTCCAGTGATGAGACTCAGAATGTCTTTAACTTGTTGTCTTTAAGTGAATCGTTAATGCTTCTGTCAGCGGAGTATAATGGCTATCAACATCAGACTTTTCTGAGATTAGGGTAAAGTCATGTAAATAGTATACCCTTTTGTCTTGTAATGATTTAATGCCAAATCTCCTCACAGAAAGGATGGACAGGAGTTCCGAATTGAAGGCAATGATTTACTCAGGTGAGAAATTTCCCCTGTGCAGTTCACAAAGAAAGATGCCCTGTGGAGAGAGTTGGGCAGGCTGCACATTTGGAGAGAACCATGGGCCAGTGCAAATGGACTTCTTACTTGCATAGTCAGGAGAAATGAAGGCCCCTGGATGGAACTTCAGAGGGCTGGCTGAGGGCACTCTGAGGTGATTCCAGAGTTTTTGACTGCCTCTGCCACTTTTCCCTGCCAGCATCCTCCCTTAACTGGCCCCTGACAAACCCGGGAGTACATATGAAATTAGTGCTTCTCAGTGGGGACCTGGGTCAGCAAGATGCTTCCCCAAGAAAACCATTCATGGTCAAATAAGGGACACACATATACCCTCATCTCTTGGAGATTCACAGTGCTCATTACCAACTTAAAACCTCTGAGGAGTATTTCAGTAAAGAAACCCGTTTAACCTACAATTTTCCATATTTGCTTGTGACCATATTTTCAACTTTTTTCTGCTACATACCTATCAGGTACTCAGAGGAGGTACTGTAATGTATTTGGCAGGATACACTTTGGTAAGTGCAGTCTGGGATCTTACAGTTTGAAGTCAGATTCTCCAAGTTTAGAATTTGACTCTGTCAGTTACTAGCTGTGTGATCCTGGGCACATAGCTTAACTTCTCTGATTCTAAGCCATCCTATCTGGAAATAGCAATAATGATAAGTACTTTCAACAATAGCACTGAGAAGATGAAATGAATTAATATGCCTGGCATGTAGGAAGTGCCTAACAAGTGATCAGTAAGTCATTGATTGTTTTCATTCTCTTCCTATTTAGTAGCCTCTCCTAGTCGCTTTCTTTCCATTCCACTCTGGCTTTATTCCCTTCTCCTTTTCTTCTTTTCTGGTGGCCTTTAAAATTGTGATGCTCTGAAGCTCTCAGAGCTACAGTGACACTGGCTTGTCTTACCTACTGGTGGGTCATCGGAACAGTGCCCTCCAGATCTCCGTTATTGGAGCTGAAGAGGTTCAGGCTCTTAATGTGTTCATTCTTTCTTTCATTTCATAAGGAGTTACCAAATACCTGATGTTTAAGTGCACTGAACTGTATAATAGGGATGACACTAAGGAAGACCTCTGTTGGGGGACACTCCCGGTTATCAAGCCTAAGAGACATCCATCCAAGGACCTATTGGGGGAGGGAAGTGAGAAGGGTTGGTTTGGGTAGCAGGGAAATCCTTAATATGTCAAGTGTTTATACAGGTGACACAGGTCAGCTTAGTTGAGGTGACTTTCTTTGCTATACCTTGGCCTTATGTAGTCTGTGCCTTTGGTATGTGGACTAGGCTCCCTGATGCTGTACAACCAATACTTGCGGGTAGCAGTTACCTTCAACGCAAATAATAAAGGTGTTGTCACAAAGATTATCTTTTATGCCTTCACGTGAGATGTCTTCATGAGGGTCTGGAGGGGAATGAAATAATTTATTGCACCACAAAGCTGTTGTAAAAATAAAGGTAATGCTTTGGGAATTCACTGAATAGGGGATGAACATACAGCAAAGTGAATTCTAACAAGGTGTTTCAAAGCTTCCTGACTAGACATTTTAGAAGGAGCAAATGTAAACTTCTTTTTGGTACTTTTGATGAACAAAAGGGTTTTTTGTGCACTGGAGGATTGGGAAGGTAATTTACGTATATAACCACTA